GAAATATATTTTCGTTTTCTTTTATAGTCGCTACATAAAATGAAAAATTCCTCCTTAATATATCGTAAAAATCTATTTTCACATTTGCGTGAGTTGTTTATATTATTTCATCATAGTTCGGAATATCCATTCCGCAAAAATTTAAAATGTCGCTATATCAGTAATAAAATAAAGGAATGTCAAAGGAAAATTTCATACGGTCGATACACGCACGGTACGGTACGGTACGGTACGACATATCGCACATCTGTCTATCTATTTATTGACTAGCATTCCAGTTCAGTAATATTCGCGCGTTTCTATAACTGTTTCCTTCCCCCCCCCCTCTCTCGATGTACCTGTTTAGGTTGCAAAACGCGAATAGAATGTAGCGTCGCCGCACCGCCGTGCAGCACACGCAGACTCAGCTTGCCAAACATCTCGGCCGTGGTGGCGGTCGCGCTTCTCAGCTCCTTCTTCGCAGCACGACCGAACTCCTTTTCAACCTTCAGCACTAGCGGTCCCAGACTGAACTTGGTCTTGATCGTCGTGTGATCGCTCATCATGTTCACCGACACGTCGCCTGTCCTCTGCAAAGATGCCAGTCCGTACAGGGTGGCTCTCGCTTTTGGTTTGCTTTTAGACTTGGTCTGAAAATCAAAGTAAAAAATTCACACTCGTTTTCGTCCATATTGAACATTTATATAATTTATATAATTTTCCAAAAAATTTAGATAATGAAACCAAATTTAGATAATGAAAAAGATCTAACGTGTTCGCGAGTACTTATCATTATTCTAATTACTTTGTTCTTGTTGCTGCTTTGAGCCTTCGTCCTATTCTTCGTTCGCTTGCGGTTTTTGCTGGAGTTCTTGTTGTTAGACGCACGTCTGTTATTGGATCTCATATTGATTTCTATGCGAGATTCCGGTGAGATTAGCTCTTTTTCCGTCACGTCCGTTTGCGTTATGATTGACTCAGTAGTCTGTGTGATTTTCTGCAAACACGAATCGTATATATTTACTGAATATACGCATTTTGATGTATAAGACTTCAATGTCTCGAGCTTGACAAGTTTATTGACGAAGATGTGACTGATTCTTTAATAAACTTGGAGTCAATTTTTACTTTAAAAAAAATTCCGAAGAGTTTTATAGTCTGTTGCAATCTTTTAATGTTCTTTTAATAAACAATAAAATTTTGTTGTTTACGCTTCACGAATCTAATAAGAAATTTTCCATCTTTAAAAAACTATTAATATTTTAATATTTATCATTAAAATTCGGCATTATAAAGTTACTTTTCTCCCTCTCTCTCTCTCTCTGTCTTAGTCTTTCTGCAATAATATAAATTATTTGAGTAATCGGAAAAATATAACTTGAATCATACCTCGACGTCGTTTTCATTTTCGGTTCTTTCGGTAACAACAGACGCATCGATCGGTCTTGATGCACTCTTCTTGGTGCCATTTTTGTTGCCCTTCCTCTTGCTTTTGTTCTTATTCTTGCTCGCCTTGGCTGAATTCGGATTCGTCAGTTTTACAGTCACTGGCTCATAATTGGCTCGTAGAATGTTATTGATTTTGCCGAGAATATTATCGACAAAACGATTGTACTTCGCCACGTAAATTGCCGGCACGTGACCGCTCGGTTCGGAATCCACGCCACCTAAACCGTTGATAGAAATTGCATCAGTCTTGATTTCTACTTTCCCGGATATCCCTCGCAAAAGTTCAAACGGAAACATCTTTAATTAGAACGGCATTCACGTTCTGAAATTATTCAGCTGAAATCAAGCGACATTTTACCACGAAATACTCGATTTTTCATCACGAACGGTATTATGAATTAAAATGATTAATTATTTCAAATTCTGTCTTCAAGTTAACTTCTAGTTATTGTAATCAGATGATTATAAGAGATTATTATATATATATATATATATATATATATATATGTAATGTTAGTTTTAAATTTTAAGAAATATATTCATATTAATTCTCTATAATTCTATAAATTCTATGCTACCGTCACCGCTACCAACTCCCCCAAGCATTATCGCTTGGCAATCTCTATTTTTCCAAAAAAACCATCAGCTTAAGTGAGTTTCCAAACTCACGAAAATCGCCCATTATCGACTCAGAAATTATGAAATCTACAAAAATTCTACTGTCATGATAGAATGAAGAAAACGAGAAAACGAGTGTTTGGGAATTCTGCCTCAATTGCGGCCTTGAAATCACTTTTCGCGAGGTCATTTCGTCTCGTCCGGGTCATCGACCAGGGTGGGACCAAGCCCAACGCTATCTTCCGCAGCTCAGCGCACTGTCTCTGAGTTTTAATGAGGGGAAATGCATCTCCCTCCTCCACCGATTACTTTGGAAGGAAGTCGGCGGAGCCGATCGTGGAGGAGCCTACTTAAAGCGACGACAATGTTAACGGTATATCGGAATCCTTCGACGCGACCCAAACTGGTCCCCGATCTGGGTCGTGACCTCCTTCCCGACTACATAACTCACCTACAGACCCATCTAGCCGCACAGGCCCATCCACTTTGTGCCACTGCTGCCTACCTAAAAACTCTCCCTCGGTCGTTGCACTTCTCGCAGCATGTAAGCACGACTTTCTTTCAAACGTCTTACGTGCCACGCCGCGATGAAAATTTCATTCCACAGACAATATCAAGGCCGTCTACTTCTGTCTACTTCTGGCGCAGGCGGAGGCATTCAATGCCGAGATCTCGGTTGAAGCCTCTTGCGAGCCCCTCGATAACGCGCGCATGATAATAATCACTCTGTATTCTCAAGAATTTTTAGTGTGTTCTAAAGGAATTCTTTACACGATGCGACTGACGTAAAATAATCTGAGAAATATTTTACGGTTTTAAAACAAAAATGACAATAGAACCTTTGCATGTTTAATCAAAGTTTTATCTTTGTAGATTAAGCTTTAACTAAAGATTTGACAGAACCAAATAATGAAATTTACTGTCTCGTATGAAACAATAATGATTTTTATTCAAATTGTTATATTATTATATTTCAAATTATATTTTATTCTTTAGAATAAACTCTATAGTGGAATATAAATTACATATTTAATATTACATACAGAGATCTTTTAAAAATATAATTATTATATTATATTCATCATTTTGTTATGTATCTATTGAATAAAAGTGAAGAATGTTTCTGAATTACAATTTCATCATGTTTATGTGATTTTTATCTTTAGATCTTTAACTTCTCGTTCTTTTTTCTGTTGCATAATACCACAAATCAATGTGAGAATACATACATTTAAACAAATGTTTTCAAAATATATTCACAATAATGAGATATATTTACTCAAATGATAAGATAATATTTTATCCGTTGCAGTCAAATATTCAGAAGAAGATTACTCGATATATCATATTAATTTTCTTTAAGATATGTGTGTGTGTGTGTGTGTGTGTGTGTGTGTGTGTGTGTGTGTGTGTGTGTGTGTGTGTGTGT